GTAGGTGAAGCGTTAAAAGTATTTTTTTTATTACATACTATCATAAATAAAAATAAAGTTTAAGTATTTTTATCATCTGTTATTTTACCAGTTGTAATGATGAATTTATTTTATCAGAAAATACGTAATGTGAATATTAGTGTTCAACATTCCTACGTAATTGATAAAAACGACTTATCGGTATAACATATTATGTTTACAAATTTATCATTTACCTCGTAACAATAATAAGCCGTTATTTTCGTACTTATCACTCTTTAAAAGACCATTACCAATAAAGAAAACAGAAACACTGAAATTTCCATTCACTTTTCGGTCGATGTCGTTCGCGAACTGAAATAATTCGTAATTGAAGTAAATTTTCTCTAGTGTGTATCCGTCCGCTATGTAACTGCACGTACATTGTGTGACGAAGAGAGCAGAGAAGCGAGAATGAAAACCTTTGGAGGTTTAAGGGGGGTTCCGTGCACAGGGGGGGAGGGCTAGCAAGCAATCGGACTGACACCAAGCCTAGGTCCGGCCATCTTGTGACGGCAAGCGCTCTCTGATCTCAAAACACCCCCAAATGTGGGTAATTTGTGTCCGAAATTGCACAAAATTGTTCATAAACAATCCTTGACAACGGCCTCAGTGCGTGCAAGTTCATAACTCACGTGTATGTGTCGTAAAATGCGTACAAATTAAACGGATTGTTTGTTGCTTTTTGTGTAACATTTTTGTGTGTGTAGTCGTCTTCAGAGTCCACATCAAGTTTTACTTCACTGTTCGATGATCTCATTGGATAATTATATCATTCGGCGCACGTAAGTTTTCATATATTTGCTTTACATTACATTAAAACAATTACATGCAACCATTATTGTTTCGAATTAATAGTCAAATTTACCTGTGAGATGTTACCTATCTGTCTATCCTGTGTACGTAAGCATGTATGTAGTAGGTACGATTTCGAAAGCAATCGTTATTACTACCGTTCATGTGTGTATGTAACTGAAGCCGAACAGTTCATATTTATACCTACTTAAAACTTATGTACGTTTGTGCCTATGTACACGCGTTTTCACCTTTCGTGGGAAAAAGGAAAATATTAATTAATCCACCCATGATCGCGATGCCTACTTATTTTTTTAACAAGGAAATATTTTGAAACTCATTCATGTTTTCAGTTTATTTTTAGACTACAGTTGCTTTCTAAAAGCGAAAATACCTGCTTACCTGTCCATATTAATTGTTTGTTTTATCTGTCCATATAAATAGGTAATACTGTTTTTTCTTTAATTTACTTTAATTTTTTATATTTACAAATTATTTTTGAAGATTTCTATCCTTTATTTTATACATTATGTATATAAAAGAAGTTTGTAAAAATATAGTTATAATAGCATAGGTATAAATAAATATTTATTCTAAGTAGGCCCTATGTGGTATCCTAAAAATAATATTTTGTTTCAATAAGTATGTGCCTAATGGTGAATAAAATTCATGAAGCCAGGCACCTACGCACAGCAAAATTATTTATTTTGTTTACTTTCATATTTTTAAACGATTATTATTAGGTAGGTACCTATATGGCTATACAAGTAGAAAAAAGTTGTATGACAATAACTATTGTTTTACATTGACGTTTCATTGTTCTTTTAAGAAAATTACTAAATAGCAAGACACTTCTCCAGTATTGATAAATAGATTAAAGGACAGATACCTCCTAGGGCTCCTCTCAATCGCAAGAAATAATTTTAGCTTTTCATTTGATAGGATATCGATTTGTTTGCTTGGTTTCGTTTCTCTCGAAACATTTTCTTTGCTCGACATTTGGACTTTGTGGGGTGCGCGCAAGTTAAAACGGTTTCAAGCGACATTGTATACATTATTTACCTGCCTATGTGAATGTTGCTTTATGTACTTTATTAAAAAGGAAACCACTTTTCTCTATTGTCTGCTGTATAACGAATGCATTATGCCATTATGCACTTCTCTAGCGTCATTTTATTGGTTTAAACGTACGCATATTATAATATGTTACTATACCCCTATTGTTAAACGTTTATTCTTTTTAGATATCCTCTAGAAATTTGATTTCATGTTTGTATGTTTTATTTTATCGCGTACCCGAAAATACATCTTTTATTGATTTAGCAACTGCTACCGAAAGACATCTATATATATATGAGTTGTTTTTCGTTCATTATCCGAATGTGTTTATAAGTACTGTTTAAAGTGTCTAAATACTTATAAACGTATTTTAGAATCAAGGTTTCGTAACATAATTTCTGAATTAGTTATTCAGTTGATCCCATTGAATGTTTTGTGCTAAAAGGTTAAATGCGAATTTATGTTGGTTGGTATGTACGTTACACCTAGTCAAAAGAAAATGCCCATATACCTACATTAAAAGTAAATGGTTTTTTTTTTAAATGAGGTGCCAAATGCAAAGTCAAATGTTCTTATGTTTTTTTAAATGGTCTATTAGTATATATCTACCTATTAACAGCAAAAATCATCAGTTTTTGAGCTTCTCAAAATGTTTAAAGCAATCTTCTACGTATCTTTGGTTCTACATGTGTGTAGATTTGTAATTAGGGTGTCCATTATCTGAAAAGTGAGAGAAGGTCAAGGTGGTCAGGTACCTGGGACAATCACTGAAATCAAAAGGTCATTTCGGGAGCAAGACACAAGATAAGAACAACTCGGAATTCAAAAGTACAATAATCAAAAGTTATTGTGGAATTAACTGGCTATTAATTAGTCCTAGTTTCAATATCAAGGTTGCTGTCGGTTGATCAGAATTTTTTGCATAGAAATCACCAATTTTTTGACGTGTTGAACATGTTTAAATGTTCGATTGTAGCGTTACAGATAGAATGTGATTATAGCTGTTAATAAACCCCCACGCCGACTGAATAATTAAGCTAAATTAAGTCAGGGTATGAAGGAACCCTGTTTTACATGTGTGAAGTATTGGGTTTACGTAAGGTTATGGTGGGAGTGGATTTTCCAATTGGTTTCTGTAAAGTGCGTTGCCCTATGGTTACTTAGGTTAAGTGATAGTGTGAGATGATTCCCTGATTGGCTTGTGTAAAGTGCTATGCTTCAAAGGTTTAGGTTAGGTTATGGTAGAATGAACCGTACCCGGAACCATATGAGTACAAAATTTCATAATGATCGATTGAGTAGTTAAGGCGTGAAACCACATAAAACTAATTTTTCTATCCCTCGGGAACAGATTTCTTTCCTTTGAATAAAAGGTACTTTTCTGTACTGTTGACAATGCGTCTAAAAAGTTTCAAGATGATTGAGTAGTAAAGGCGTGAAGTCGATTACATCCCTGACTTTGTTTCTAAAAAATTTCGTGACGATGGATTGAGTAGTTGAAAAGGAAAATCGACCACACAAAACTAATTTTCCTCTCCCTCGGGAACAAACCCTTTCGAATAAAAGGTGCCCTATGTCCTTTTCTGTACCCCTGACAATGTGTCTACAAAATTTGAGAATGATCATTTATAAGTTAAGACGTGAAATCGACCACATAAAACTAATTTTTCTATCCCTCGGGAACAGATTTCTTTCCTTTCAAATAAAAGGTGCCCTATGTCCTTTTCTGTACCCCTGACAATGTGTCTACAAAATTTGAGAATTGGTGTTACCAGTGGCTTCGCTCTCGTTGGTGTTCTAAATAAGTGTCAGCGATCATCGACGACCACATAAAACTAATCTTTCTATCCCTCGGGAACAGATTTCTTTCCTTTGAATAAAAGGTACTTTTCTGTACTGTTGACAATGCGTCTAAAAAGTTTCAAGATGATTGAGTAGTAAAGGCGTGAAGTCGATCTCAAAACTATTTTTTTCTATTCTTCAGGAACAGTATTTTTTCTGTGTAAAAGGTACCCTAGTCGTTCTCTGTATCCCTGGTATTGTGTCTACAAAATTTCGTGATAACCGATTGAGAAATTTATTGGAAAAATCGACCACATAAAACTAATTTTTCTATCCCTCGGGGACAATTTTTTTTCCTTTTAAATAAAAGGTACCCTAAGTCCTTTTCTGTACCCCTAACAATGTGTCTAAAACATTTGATGATAATCGATTGAGTAGTAAAGGCGTGAAGTCGATCACATAAAACTAATTTTTTCTATTCTTCAGGAACAGTATTTTTTCTGGGTAAAAGGTACCCTATGTCGTTCTCTGTATCCCTGATATTGTTTCTACAATATTTCGTGACGATGGATTGAGTAGTTAAAGGGGAAAATCGACCACACAAAACTAATTTTCCTCTCCCTCGGGAGCAAACCCTTTTCTTTCGAATAAAAGGTACCCTATGTCCTTTTCTGTATCCCTGATATTGTGTCTACAAAATTTCGTGGTAATCGATTGAGTAGTTAAACAGTAAAATTAACCACATAAAACTAATTTTTCTATACCTCGGGAACAGATTTCTTTCCTTTGAATAAATGGTACCCTATGTCCTGTTCTGTACCACTGACAATGTGCCTAAAAAATTTCATGATGATCAATTGAGTGGTAAAGGCGTGAAGTCGATCACATAAAACTAATTTTTTCTATTCTTTAGGAACAGTATTTTTTCTGGGTAAAAGGTACCCTATGTCGTTCTCTGTATCCCTGATATTGTTTCTACAATATTTCGTGACGATGGATTGAGTAGTTAAAGGGGAAAATCGACCACACAAAACTAATTTTCCTCTCCCTCGGGAGCAAACCCTTTTCTTTCGAATAAAAGGTACCCTATGTCCTTTTCTGTATCCCTGATATTGTGTCTACAAAATTTCGTGGTAATCGATTGAGTAGTTAAACAGTAAAATTAACCACATAAAACTAATTTTTCTATACC